TCACAGGCCATACAGAATCATAAACTTAAAGTTTAGCCTCCCAAAGATTTATTGAATTTTGGGTCTCACTTGCAGTTGCCTTGGCAGACCCAGATCAAATGATTTTGCGGGCCTTATATGACCCTTGGGGCTACATATCTCCTACCCCTTCATTATTAGCTCAATTTATAATTTGTATATCTAGATTTTCATACTTAACATAAGTCTGTACAACAGAAGAGAGTAAGTTGATTTTTAACTGAATTTTTTTTTCTTTTTTAATGTAACAGCCATGCCTATCTCTAAGCTTCATTTGGGTTTTGTCTGTTTTCTCCTTCAGGTACATGATGTACACACACAATTCAATCAGCATCTCCTGAATGACTGTCCCACGTAGTTCACCTCGTTAGAAACAGAAGCTAGCAAAAGAAAACTTAAAAAAAAAAAGAAAGAAAGAAAGAAAAGAAAAGAAAAGAAAAAAAAAAAAAGAAGCAGGCTAGCTCGACAGGGCCTTGATTTCTGGCCTAAAACGTCTCCATTGTGACATACGCCACACTGTTTATTTGGGTGAAGTGCTATGGAAACCATACAAAAAAGCTGAGTAAAGGATTACAGAGGTTTCACTAAAATCTAAAACCATATCTATAAAATGGGCTACTTCAGACAACGGTGGCAACCTAAGTTCTGGCAGAATTCAGATTCTATATTTTATGAGGGCGGGGTAAGATGTCAGCGAGACCATAAGGTCTCATCCTGCCACTGAACAGGGAACATATTAATTCAGCCTGGCCACCTGGGGCCCATTTAGTGCACTAGAGCAGTAATTTGCTCAAATGGGCTCCTCATAGTAAAAAGAATGAGTAAACAGTGAGCAATTTAGGCATGGTAAACCACTAGTAGCTCAAGGGACATAAAAATGTGAAACTATAATTAGATCCCTTGTTCATAATGTACTAACTAAATGTATTACATCGTATATTGCATCTTTCTGAGTTTATTTCCGGACACAGCTGAGCCCCTAACAATTTAGACAGAAACCTCCCCGGTTATCAATTCATGGCTCCATTAAAATTCCAACTGCTATATTAGATTAAAAAAAATCCCGAAGACAGTTCCTTTTATCTTAGATCTAAGGGTGCACGCAGGATTAACTCAGATACAGAACACAGCCAGTCAGTTATAAATCACACAGCATGAAATAAACTATGGCAGTAAACTGAGAATGATATTCTTTTTCTAAACTTAGCTGTGAAAATATTTTAACAAGATGGCACGGAGGTTTACAACTTCTGTATCTGATGTTTCTTTCCAGGATTATCGTTTAGCCTTTTAAGATGTGATTCTTGGAAACTTGTGGCCAGTTAGGAATACACGCTTAGTTGGCACATGTGGAACATTGTAAAGGGGGAGGCAACACAACATCCATGGGTCTGGCAGTGTAGTGTGTCCCCTCTCTACTTCTAGGCAGAAGCTGCTGCGCTTTGATAAGTGTCTAGAAAAATATTTGTCTTTTATTGGAATCTTTTTCATAATCAGAGAAACTGTACAATGTGGGTTGGCACCTGCGGTCCGGATGCCATTCCATGATATTAGTTAACTCTGTTGAACTGCCCTGCATCAATTTGTTACTTCAGTTACAAGGATCTTGTTGATCTAGTCATAATGAGAATGTCTATTCTTGATTTTTAAATTTATTCGGCAGAATTGAACTGTTGTTGTGATGCAGGGAATGAAGCCGCTGTTTGCAATGCTAGTGTCTCATATCGGTGCTGGTTTGTCCTGGCTGCTCCACTTCCGACTCCTTGCTAATGGCCCCATCACCGCGTGGGAAATCTCGATGACGCTCTTGGTTCTGGCTTAGCCCAGTCCTGATTCTTGAGGCCATTTGGGCAGTAAACCAGCTGATGGAAGATCACATTGCCTTTCTGTCATTTTGACATTAAAAAAAAAAAAAGTGGAATGCCACACAGTCTTCCATCTACTGCTTCACTCCCCAAATGCTGTAATGTGTGGAGCGGGGCCAGGCTAAAGCCAGGAGCCAAGAACTCTCCCTGCCTCTCCCCTGCCTTCGCAGGCTCCTCAGTAAGCAGCTGGGTTGGGATCCAAGCAGCCAACAGGGCAGCAAGCCCTCTGATGGGTCATGCCCGGGTCCCAAGCCTTGGTGGCTTAGCCCCTGTGCACCACAGTGCCAGCTCTGGGCAACGGCTATTGGTGAGGAAGTATTTTTCTGTCTTTCCCTCCTTTCTCTCCATCCGCTCGCCCCCAGGTTGAATGCCTTCATTGAGAGTGGAACAAGGAAAGAGACCTACTGTGAACCCTGCCCTCCTGCCTTCTTCCCTTCCCCATGACTTTTATTATTGTGACTACAATGGAATTTGCTGTTTCAAGTTACAGACTGTGCATGAAATCCCACCCCCCCCCCCAAACTGTAGTCTTTATCTTCCTCCCGTTTGTGTTGAGGTGGGAATACATTTTCCTTATGCTGAGATACTTCAACTTATTTTTTGCCTCTCCCTCCCCCCATTTGGTGTCTGGTATCCCTGAAACCAAGTACGTGTTTGCTGAGAGACTGTGCCTGAACGCAGAGTCTCTGAGCAAGGCTGGTTCTTCAAATCGTGTGCTCCTGCAAGAGATGGTCTGGTTATAAATACTAGCACAGAGTAAACAGAACTCCTGGAGGATAAAAAGGGAGCGCCATGGTGACTGTGTAAATGCTAGGAATTAGACAGAGAGTAAATACAGGACTGGATTTTCTTAGGACAGAATTTACAGCTGGAAAAACTGTCCTAAAGTTTGTGATATTCGTTGAAGCAATGGAGCTCTGGAAGGCAAGTGGGCGGGAATTAATATCCATTTTCTAATATAGTAAAAATTAAAGTAGTTTTCTAAAATATCACCTGTGGCACTAATGAACATTAAGAGGTGTGAAATGTAACACATATTTGATTTTAAGTCGTAATAAAAGATGTGTAAACTAATCTACCTGTCTAGCCCTACACTAATAGATTATGTGACGTGCCAGTCTGGGCAATATAGGAGGTAGTACAGCTTAAATTTGATTCAATATCATCAGCTCTTTTTCTGCCTTTTTGTCTGTCTAGAGACTGGTTCTTGAACAAGTGCTTACTCTCACGCACTCCAGAAAATTTCACCGTGAGCCTCCATTTTCTGACTTCTTGGGTCAGGTCCGCCTCCCCGTGTTTTGAGTCTGTTCCCATGAGTCCTTGTATTTTTGTACATGGCCCACTTGAACATTCTTATTTATTTATTTATTTATTTATTTTTAATTTTGACAATCCTTACATATTTAATTGGGGTAAAAAAGGTTCAAGGCCTAAAGGGGGATATAGAGGAAGAAGCCCCACCCAGTTTCCCACCCACCCTAAGTCCCGGATGTGGGGCATGCTCTGAGATACTCAATCAAGTGGTTGCAATAGTTCACCATTCATGGGTCGCTGCCACTCCAAGCACGATGTGGTTGTTTAAGAGTTCATTGATTGACACAGTCCCTTCTAGAGTCTCCATTTGCCCAGTATTTTGCTGCCAACAGATAGCTGAGGTTGTTGCTTGACTTGTTCTGTCCACTTGAACATTCTTGCTAATTTATAAATTCTTTGAAGGCGTTGACAGTGTCTGACCTAGTCAACTGCTGTACCACAATGACTGGCTCATAATATACACGTACAATAACTTTCTAATTCATTGACTTGAATTTGTTATCGTATAAGAACGTGCAGTATTGCTAACTTTTAAAGTGTCGGCTGTACACTGAATTCAAACATTTAGTTTCACAGGACCAGGTAAGACTCAAAAAGAACAACATAAAAAAAATCTGCTTCCGGATATTTCAAGACTCCACTTTCTGAATAAGCCAGGCTATGGCTTCCAGGTGTCTCCCCTTGGCTCTTAGCAACTTTATCTTAAAAAGAGGACAGGTTATTTTAAAAAGTCTCCCAGGTTAAAATCCTGATTTACAAAGAGAATGAAACTCAAGTAAAAGTAGAAAACACTCTACTAGCCTTGGACAACACTTGCTTCAGCTGACGGAACAGATGCTAACTTTTCAGGCCACAACTAAACACAGTAGCCGTGGAGGGGAATGGGGTTTTTCTGCTGAACGGGACTAGGAAAAGCCCGGTGGACGAGAACATACACGGAGCATCTAACTTGGTCTCCATCTCTCCTTCTCTTCCCGCTCCATCCCAAACTTCATCAACTCTTTTCATCACACATCTTCCTTCCAACGGGAGAGAGAGGGGATCGCCTACTTTCTAAGCACTGCCTTGTTTTCGAAAAAGGCCGGTGATGCTGAGGTGCTGTGGGCATGTGTTCGTGTCTCACACAACGGACGGGGGCGAAGACCAAGTGTCTTCTTACAGTTTAGAGTCCCTGGAAATCCTCATTTTCAATTAGCAAGGAAAACAAAAGTCATCAGGCTAGCGAGAATGGGCGTGTTAGGCACAAGTGAATGAGCAAGAACAGACTGGGACACGGAGTCCAACAGCAGAGGGCACACTACCCACTGGTCACGGCCGGGCCAGGAGGAGCAGGGTCCAGGGATCGCTGGGGCTCGTAGTTCACACCGGTCGTCTCAGACGCGCCGGTCTCCAGAGCAGAACTACAACGACCGAGATGCCTCGCGCGCCCCGCCTCTTCACCGCCCCTCTCAGAGGCCGGCTCAGGAACCTCCCGGGAAACCGCCCCTGCCCCGCCCTCGCACGCACGCGTCACGTTTGTTTACCCTCAAGCCCCGCCCCCGCCGCCCTCCGGCGCTCCCCGACTCCTCCCGGGAATGCCGTCATGCGGGCGATGCATATTCATGAGGTGCGCGGCCGCCTCCCGCCTTCCCGCTCCCGCCGCGCCGATTAATATTCAATGAGCCCGGCGGGGCGGCTGGCTCGCGGGGGCGGGGCCTGGCGCGGGGGCGCTCGCGACCCGGCGGGGCGGGCGTGTGTGTGTGGAGGGGGGGCGGTGGCGGCGAGGCGGGCGCGCGGGATGGAACACCGAGCCACCGGCGGAATGCGCCGGACTGCCACATAATCCCCTGGAACGGCCGCGCCGAACGCCATTGGCTTCTCCCCGCTCCGCGCGCCGCCGCCGCCGGCGTCTCCCACCTTCGCCTCGCCTCTCTCGGCCCGCCGCCTCCGGAGCCCCGGGGGGCAGGAGGCGAAGCCCCGCTGCCATGGAGCCCGCCGCCGCGGCCCCGGCGCAGCGCCTCGCCGATCCCGGCCGCGAGGACCGAGCTCCGGCTCCCGCGGCCGCTCCCGCAGCCTCGGCGGCGGCCCCCGGGGGCGCTCGGAGCCCGGAGCCCGCGCTCCCCGCTGCGGCCCCGAGCGGCGGGAACGGCGGCGGGGCGCGGGCAGAGGCCCCCGGAGAGGCGGCGCCGGGCCGGCCGGGGGGCCCCGGGCGCAGGAGGCGGCGCGGGACGCCCCAGCCCGCTGCCCCGCTCGCCGCGGCCGGCCACGGCGCCAACTCCCTGCTGCTGAGGAGAGGGCGGCTCAAGAGGAATCTGTCCGCGGCCGCCGCCGCCTCGCCGTCCTCGTCGTCGTCCTCGTCGTCGTCTTCGGGCGCTGCCGTCGTCTCGCCCGGCCTCCCCGCCTCCTGCTCGGCCTCGGCGTCGCTGTGCACCCGGAGCCTGGATAGGAAGACGCTGCTCCTCAAGCACCGGCAGATGCTGCAGCTGCAGCCGTCGGACCGGGACTGGGTGAGGCAGCAGCTGCGGCGGGGCTGCGTGCACGTCTTCGACCGCCACATGGCCTCCACCTACCTGCGCCCGGTGCTGTGCACGCTGGACACCACGGCCGGCGAGGTGGCCGCGCGCCTGCTGCAGCTCGGCCACAAAGGTGGCGGCGGCGTGCTGAAGGTACTGGGCCAGGGGTCCGGAGCTGCAGCCGGCCCGGAGCCGCAGCCCGCGGGGAACGCGCCGGGGGCCGTCGGGGGCCCTCCGCGCGCGCCTCCCACCGACCTGCCGTTGCCCGCCGGCGGCCCGGGCGGCTGGGCGCGGCGTTCTGCCCGCAACAGCCCGATGCCCTCGGACTGCAGCGCCAGCGAGCCGATCGCGGGGGGCCCCGGCTCGCCTCCGCCCGGCGGCCCGCGGCCCCTGGACGGCGCGGCCGCCACGCCGGCCTCCGACACCGAGAGCTTCAGCCTGAGCCCAAGCGGGGAGAGCGTGTCCGATCGCCTGGACCCCTACAGCAGCGGCGGCGGCTCGTCCTCATCCGAGGAGCTGGACGTCGACCCAGCCCCGACCCCGGCCCCGACGGGGGTCCCCGGCCAGCCCTGCGACCCCGCGCCGTCCAGGCCGGCCTCCCCGACTGCCTCAAGCCGGCGGCCGCAGAAGCAAACCCCGAGGGTCGTGGATGTCGTGGGCGGCGTGGCCCCCGAGGAGGGATCTCGAGGGGAGGAGCAGGCGGCGGCAGCTGAGACCCCGGGAGGACCCCCGGCGACCCCCGGGAGGAGCGAGGCGGCGGCGCCCGCGAAGCTGCCCCCGCCGCCCACTCTGTACGTGCAGCTCCACGGAGAGACCACCCGGCGCCTGGAGGCGGACGAGAGGCCATTGCAGATCCAAAATGACTACCTCTTCCAGCTGGGGTTTGGAGAGCTATGGAGGGTGCAGGAAGAGGGCATGGACTCGGAGATCGGCTGTCTCATCCGCTTTTATGTAGGTAAGGCAACCACCTGCACGAGGACGTGCAGACCCTCGCTGGGACCGAGAGAGGGCTGTGTGCCCAGGGAGGCGGTGCGGGGTCCTGGTGAGGCTTTGTTAACTTAGCGGCGCGCAGGAGCTGTGCGGTGCTAGGTGGAAGGATCTGGAGACCTGCCCGCCCTAGTCCACGGGCTTCTAGACTGGAGAGCAGTGCGGAGGAGGCGGCTCGAATCCCCAGGAAGTGCAGGAGGCGACACTCCCGCAGGACGCGGGGGCCGGTCCACTCCTGGGGGCTCGCTGGGGCGCAGGGCTGTCAGGCGGAGGACAAAGCCCGAAGCCCGGGCCCCACGTCTGCTTGTCCAGCCCCAAGCACGGTGTGTGCTGCCGGGAGCTCCTTCCCTGCCAGGCGGGGCCCTTGTTTGTCCTGCTCTCTGCCTGCCTGTTCACCCAGGGAGTCCTCAGAAGCTTCAGGAACACGATCCATTTTTAAAGTGATACTTTTCTGAAGCAGTGTTTTGTGAACTTAATCCTGCTGTTGAGTCTTGCATCAAAATCATTTTTGCCTGTTTGTTTTGTGCCTTCCGGCCTCTGTGGTGGGCACTGACCTTGGCAGGGGGACTTGCAATAGGGGTTCAATATTACAAGATCTCGTCTTTCTAGTTGAGCCCTAAAGTGCTGCTCCTGCTTTCCAGGACCAGGTCGAAATGTTGATACAGCATTTCTGCTTTGGCTAAAGATTTGGCTCCACTAAGTTCAGGAGCCCTAGGTCCTGGTTATGTGTTATTTGTGTCCTGTACCTCCAGCGAGTTAGATAAGATTTTTATTAATGAGGACTTCTATTTAAGATGGAGTTAGTAGAGTAGAATTAAATGACAGCAATTAAATCTTGACCATCGTGTGTGTGTGTGTGTGTGTGTGTGTGTGTGTGTGTAGGCGATGGCGGGAAAAGAACCATGTCAGCCCCATTTATCTGTAGGTATTCTTGCAAACTTAATGTGTGTTTTGATCCTAGAGGTGATTTCGATTTGAATGAAGAGACTGTACTCCACGTTCGATAGGCAGGATTGGTAGCATTCCTCGTGACACTTCCTCCAAGTCTCATTGCCAATTTGCTGAAGTTCTTAAGTACATTTCAGGTCAATTGTTGCCTTGTTAACAAAGCCAGGTCATGATGCAGTAGCATTTGCAGTGTCAGCTGAGTGCCACGCCTCCTGCAGTTTATGGCCCGGAAAGTGAATTTTTTTTTATAGCAATAGCTATATCGCTTCCTCTTATATAGTTCATGAAATTTGTAAAATGTTGTTTTAGAGAAACACTGAATGCTAGTTTTACTTGGAGGGAGAATATTTAGTTATTGTGCAAGTGGTGAATGCCCTTGTAATTACACGGAGGAAATAGGTGTGGGACAAAGCAGGTGTTAAACACGCGGCGTGTTGTCCAATGTGGCATCCTTGCTTTGCTGACGATTGGCCATATGATCTTGGTAAGTGTCCATGAAAAAGGTTTTGGCCTCACAGTCTTGGAACTTAAATCTGCAGTTGTGTCTTCTTCAAGACTGTCTAAAATATTCTAAGGGGATGACAGGCAGCTCTTTGGGGGTTTTGTTTATTAAACTCAATCTAAAAAAATGACAGTTTTCCTTCTGGTTACGTCCATTTCTGGTATAGTCATTTTAATCTTTTTCCCTTGTGAGAAACAGTGGTTGTTGCCTCATTCTGAACTTTCTAAATGCGTAACAGGACAACCTGTCTACCTCTGTTTTATGCTCCTAAAAATAATCAAGAGGGGATGCCACAGGCAGCGCCCAGCGCGCTCTTGCACCTGGGGTCAGCAGGCGGTGTCACGGAAGGAAGACTTGTGGCTGTTGGAAAGAGCTTAATTAGCTCTTTCGGTTTTCCAACAAGGCTGAGTTGCTCTGACACCTTATACACTGCTGAGACGCCTTTGCCCAAGAATCAGATGTCAGATGTAGTGCGTGGCGAGTCCATTTGAACATTTTCAAGGAACTTTAGCTACACCTGCCGCCTGCTCCCCTAGCAGCGCTGTGGCCATCCTGGAGTGCAGGCGTGCCAGGCTGCAGGAGCCTCTCCGTGCAGAGAATTCATGTTTTCGATCACAGCCTTAAAGAGAACGTTGGGAAGTTGTTGTTATATGATTTTACGTAGAACTTTGATGCTTTGCTGCATTTCTTTTTGTTTGTGTGTAGATGGAACTGGTAGCTGGAAAGCTGCTTTTGGAATCTTTTGAGTATTCTCCTGTGTTTCAGTTGAGCTTGTTATTCAGGCTCCGTCTGGTTGATCGGTCAGCTCCTTGTTTGGGGTGCTCTTGTTCAGCCCAAGGCTTTCGCTGTCTGGAGGGTCACTGTTCAGTTACATCTCAGTGTGGACAGCCTGACTCAGGTTGTCCTTGCTTTCAGTGTTTAAGTGTTATGGTGAAGCTCTTTAATGAACTGAAAGGCACTGGATGAAAGAGGCTTATTACAGAGTTGCTCTTGGAAATCTTCAGTTTGAAAATTATTATTTTACCTATCAAGCAAACATTCTCTTAGCCGTTTTCACCTGTGAGCAAGTTGTGGCGGTCTTATCTGAAGTTGCTTAAGTATGTCAGGTTCTAAATTGCTTTTAAACTCGGACCTCTTCCATTTTACCTGAAAGGGTAATTTTAGATTTAAGCAGTTTAAGTAGTTAGGTTGCCTGGCATAAGTTACAGACTCATGGACATAAATGAGCTTGCTTTTGGACTCTGTGGGGAGTCTGTCTTTGATCACGTGTAGGATTAAATTACACATTTTACGTTCTGTTGACTTTGCCCTGCCATCTTTTAGATCTGGTAATCCAGCTAGTTCAGTTCAGTTGTTGGAATGAGGAAGGGTGTGGACAGAGGGAAGAGCACTCCCCCAGCCCCGCAGGAAGTCTCACACAGCACATTTCATGTGTGACTCCCTGGAATTGCTCAGGGGACAAGTTCTTCACTCCTCTCCTATTTCTTCGCTTTTTCTCTTCTGGGAATGAGCAAACCCTATATGGTTTCCTACATGGAAATCAAGAAGGGACGGTTCAGCATTAAGCTGTAATATTGACAAGCAGGTTCTTACTACTATAATTACAGCAGTATTGAGTGACATAGTTTGAGATGTGACACCAGTGTGTGATTGAATGGTCCTTTCAATTTTTAGTACAAAGGCTTTGTGATTGTTTTTGTTTTTTACATTTAACATTTTTGTGTTTGTTTTTTCTGATGTCAAGCCTGTGCTTTTTCTTTGACTGGTCTGATAACATCTGTAGCACACTGGATGTTATTATTTTTAAACACCTTAGAGGGCTCTCACTGGAATTATCTGACTTGTCCTTTCCAAGCTGCATGAGGGGAGGAGGCAGCTCGGTCCTCACACATGGAGGAAGTGATGTACAGTGGTTTGGCTCTCGCTTGTGGTTTTCCAGTCTCTTAGCTGAGATGAGGAGAGAGAGCTAGGATATTCATATCACTTAATATTCACCTTCCATGAATTGATGCTGAGTTTCACTTACATTTGAATTTTTCACTTAGTTAACAACATTTAGAAAATACACCAGTTTTGTTGGGAATGAGGTAATACTTTTTAATCCATGGTGATATTTCTCATGAAATTAACGAAGACTGGTCAATAGTGGGTCATACAGAATATCCTCTGAGTATTCTGGTTGGAAACAGTCATACTTGTATTTAAGTTGGTATGAAATAAAACTTACATTAGCGATGATTATTATTTTTTTAAAGATTTATTTATTTTTATTACAAAGTCACATATACAGAGAGGAGGATCTTCCTCCAATGATTCACTCCCCAAGTGAACACGACGGCTGGTGCTCCCACGTGGATGCAGGGTCCCAAAGCATTGAGCCGTTCTTGACTGCTTTCCCAGGCCACAAGCAGGGAGCTGGATGCGAAGTGGAGCTGTCGGGATTAGAACTGGCGCCCATATGGGATCCTGGCACATTCAAGGCGAGGACTTTAGCCGCTAGGCCACGCTGCCAGGCCCATTAGCGATGATTATTCTCTTACTCAAACATGCATCATTTGGCTGAGAAGTAGGAAGCTAGCATGTCACTTCATAGGGTTTGAGGGAATGTTCTTTTAAGTGTATTTTATAAAATACTGAAAATCCCCAACATTAAATGTTATTTGCCTAAACTTTTCGTTTTGAAATAAGATAATGTGTACCTAAATATTAAAGAATGCTTTATTGTGCTCCAGCATTCCTGTACAATTTTTATGTGATTCATGTTATAAACCTAGTAAGTTCTCACTGAATTCTATAGTCATTCCAAAATGGTACATCTCTTTGACTGCTTGGAATAATTGTGGGGAGTGGAGATGGGTGTAAATCAGTTTGTGTAAATTTCAAGTTGAAAGTTGCATTTTTTTGCTGTAAGAGTATCAAATCAACTAACTTAAACAATTAGTTGTGCAAAGATGAGTATTTCTTGATAGTTTTCTTGATCGGCAACATGGAATTTTCACTGCAATTATACTAGGCATTTTAAAGTTTCATGAAAAAATGGAACTAGCTATTTATTTTGGAGCATTTTTTTTTGTAATCCACTTAGAGTTCTCTCTTAATACACATTTTCTGTGAATTTGCTGAAGACCCCCTGTTGTGTGACTCAGGCCAAGCCTGATAGTGGACATGTTAGTTTGGCATTTGTTGGATTGCATTTGTGGAGTCCTTTGCACCTGTGGTGGTGTGTGTTGGGGTTGGGCAGCCTTCGAGTCCCCGCCGCTGTGTTAAACATGCAGATACACGGAGGCGGTTCTCCACAGGCAGGATTTAGGTGGGTCACAGGCTGTTGCTGTCTTCGGTTTCATCTAAGTAAAATCTGAGCATTTTGAGAAAGGAGCTCCCTTTCAAAGTTTCCTTAAAATGATTTTTTTTTTTTACTCACCTTTATAAAAGCATGTCTCACCTCAATTTCTTGATGAATTTATGGAGCCATCTCTCTGAGGTCAGGAGGCCGCTTATACTGTTATTTTGTTATATGC